GCCACCTGCAGAGAGTGGGACCGGGTGAGGAGGAGGAGGAGGAGGAGGAAAGATGGTGCTCAGTATTGTCCTTCTTGGTGCAGGAAACGGGCTGCCTCCCTCACTGAGAAGGAGGACTCGGAGGATGAGTGGGATCGAAGTGAGCGAGAGCGACTGCAGGACCTGGAGGAGCGGGACGCCTTTGCAGAGCGCATCAAGCGCAAGGACAAGGAGAAGACCCGTAACATCCTGGAGCGTTCGGATAAAAAGGTGTAACCCTCAGTCTCTGTGTCTCTTCTTCCACAGCCAGGACCTCTTCTCTATGTTCTTCCCTGTTGGTGCTCTTCATTGTCCCCCAAATTCCTCACATCATTCCCAGCGTTTTATCATTATTATACACACTTTTTTCTAGAGCCAGAAAATTTGCAGGAACATTTTATGCTGATACCGAATAATTTACTCTTTGTAAATAGGCCTATGGTTTTACTCAGATGCAGGGAAAATGGCAGAATGTGACAGTGGCTATAGAACGTGATGTTCTGTTTGAGCCACACCTTTTCTAACCTCTATGGCTGTAAAGGTAAGCAGGAAAATGTATGAACCGTGTCTGGTAAAATCCCCAAATCCTGGTATGTTCCAGAGGAAGCATTTCTGGAATCAAGCATTAGTCTCTTCAACAGCAGGAACAGAATAAATTATGCATAGCAGCCTGTGACATAAAATAAAGTACCCAAATTAAGAGGAGCTGTGTACAATTACTTAATCTAGTCATTTGCAAATATTTCAGGTCTCTGCCGAAGATATTGCTAGGACAAAATTGTGGCTTTTTTGCCTCATTATTATTGAGTATGGCATAGCCTTTGTTCAGCCCTTTACAAAGTTGACAAGAAAACCTTTGCATCTCTTCCTCTCTTGGTTCTAACTGGCCACCTTTCCATTTCAAACCCTGGTCTTAGCTACTCCAAAACTTCCTTCTTTAGGCCACCTGCTCTGATTTGGGTTGATCCAATTTTCCATATGTGTTCATCTCATATTATATTTGCTGTCATTATTATCTTTAGTAACAATTAGTTTCAGCAGCTGGAGAAAGAGAAAAGTCTAATCATTCATTGAGAAGGGACCCCCTTTTGTTGGCTTTCTTGCTTGTTTTGGGTCTGTGCTAATAGTCTGACTGAGATTTAAGTTTGGCCTTCCTGACCCAACAGCAACCAAAGTGGGAGAATAAGAACTCCGAGGGTTACCTGCCTTGGTGTCATCTCTTTGTTTATGCATTTTGTTTTATATTCCCACTGAGTTTAGGCCTATGAAGAAGCCCAGAAGCGATTGAAGATGGTCGAAGAGGACAAGAAATTCATAGTAAGAACTTAAATTTTGTGTGTGTGGGATTATCAGGTGAAATATCTGGTTGATAATACATTTGTAGTTGTAGCTCACCTAGCCATTTATCTCCCACTCGACCCCTTTGCCACCCCTGATCAACCCAATGCATTGATTTTATCCTGGTTCATTAAATGCTACTTAGTGAATGTACCAGGGGATAAGGCGTATTCGATTATAGGATGTGACAGTTTTTTTTCAGAAAAATGCAGAAAATTTGTGCTCACAGCAGGGCTTTATTTGTATTGTCTGTATCCAGAGAGCAGTTTACCTGGTGGGCTTGATAACCTGTTAATCCTACCAAAATATCACCTCCTAGTTGGAGTTTGGTTTAAGAATTATTGATCAACAAAAGCAGAGATCAGCCTCGCGAAAAGTCGAAATCTGCAAAATCCTTGTTTGTTTGTTTGTTTGTTTGCTGTATTTGTATTATCTGTATCCAGAGGGCAGTTTACCTGGTGGGCTTCATAACCTGTTAATCCTACCAAAATTATCACTTCCTAGTTGGAGTTTGGTTTAAAAATTATTGATCAACAAAAGCAGAGATCAGCCTCGCGAAAAGTCGAAATCTGCAAAATCCTTGTTTGTTTGTTTGTTTGTTTGGGCTCATCTGTATGGACCCCATATTTTCTTTTTCTGCCTGGCAGATTCCAGAGCTCCGGAAGAAGTCTCGCCGGGAATATTTGGCCAAACGGGAAAAGGACAAGATAGAAGACCTGGAGGCAGAGATAGCCGATGAGGAATACCTGTTCTCGGAGCAGGAGCTAACAGCCTTTGAGCGACAGGAGCTGGAATACAAGCGCAGGGTGCGGGACTTGGCAAAGCAGTACAAGCAAGCTGGAGAGCAGGAGAAGATGGAGAAGAGTAATCGGTACTATATGCCTGAGGAGAGTCGCAGCAAGGTAACAACTATGTGTGTGGCCACACTCGGGGGACTCATCCCCTTTTGGAAAGTGGCCTGTATAGTTAGTGTTCTTTTGCTGAAGAATCTTGGGTGGGGGCAAGGTTTGGAGTGGCCTCGCCTTGGGACCCTGAGAAAACATTTTGGTTGGATCGTGGACAGTCGGTCCCTTGCGGGCATGTACATGTGTTTGTTCACATGCCTGGAGAGACAGAATATAAGCGGTCTGGTTAAAAAATCTGGCTTTTATGTAAGAGAGGAGTGAAAGTGGCTAGGTAGAGCTTTCATGGAGTGGAAGACGATGAGGATTGTAGTTGAACACATCTGTGTAGTCTCTTATCAGAGACAAAATGATCTTCAAGGTCCATGCCAGCCCCATGATTCTGTGTGGTTTAAAGACCATTCCGGAGGCATGTCACAAATTACTCTTCAACAGCCATACATGAACACAGTACGTTTTCATCAAGTGACAGCTAAGAATTTTCTAAAATGGAACTGGACATGAGGGTTCTTAGGACATTTCAGGGACAAATGTTAGTACAGTGAAGTCCCAGAAAAATGTTCGTCGGTACGTACGCTCATTTATAAATAAATAGCCTTTGTTCATTGGCTGTTTGTGATGTGATGTCATTAGGAGAACCAGTGTTCTGCCTGTTTATATCCTTCTTGCCCTCATTAATGGCTGCAGTAATAAGAATGTTGTGCAGCTGACTGTAGCATCATCTTTCAGTCTTTTTACTCAGTGTGTAAAGAGGGGGACCACTCTAGCCCTGTTCCTCTATGTGATTGTTACCTATCCAGGATCTTTTACACATGGAGGAGGGGCCAGGTTCTGAAAGTGAGTGTCTCTGTTGCCTGCAGAGGCTTCCCATTTGAGTTGAGAGTTGAAGCCCCTATTTTCCATTGACACAAGAAAAACTCTGATTCAGAAAGTTGACATTTGCACATAAGGGGTCATGGGAGAAAGGCCACATTGAGGAAGATCCCCTTTCTTACCTATGGGATAAAAAAGCTGCTCCAGTCCCTATGTGAGGACATCTAATACTTCTTCGACATGATTTGTACATATGCTTAAAGTATAACCCGTTATGGTTGTTGTGGGTTTTTCGGGCTGTCTGGCCATGTTCTGAAGGTTGTTCTTCCTAACGTTTCGCTAGTCTCTGTGGCCAGCATCTTCAGAGGACAGGAGTATCACTACCATTAGATCCCGGCCGTGAAAGCCTTCGCAAATACATATAACCCATTAACTCCTTCAGGCTTACTTGTGTATAATCAGGCACACTGGGTGATGAATGTATACAAGCACCGACAGCCACACAAGGCACAGAGCTACAGGATATGCCCATGACGCCTCCTTTTGTTTTTGTCCTGCAGAAGATCCCAGATCGCTATGAAGAACCCCAGACAGAGGATCACTTGGCCCCACGCGACGAGCAGCGGCGCTGGGAGGAAGACCACATCGGGGCAGCCTCCCTCCGCTTCGGGGCTCGAGATGCCAGTAAGCGCCATCCTCACAAAGACTACGAATATGTGCTCGAAGAGGATGAGATGATCCAGTTTGTGAATGCCGTACAGATGCAGGGCACAACGCAGAACAAGGTCAGAAGCTGGAGGGCAGACTGGACGGTGGCATGTGGGGATTTGGGTTAGGGCTGAGTTAGTTCAGATTGACCTCCGAGTGGAGTTGGATTTTTGATCAGGTGAGAAGTTTTTTACAAGGCTCTGTGGATATCTCTCCCACTTTCCAAGAAGCGAGGGTAAAGCAGCAGCTAGAAAAGTACTGGCTGCTTGAAGTTGGAAAGGAAAGTCATGGAAATTAAAATAAACAAGAAAAAAATTAAAAGCAAAGTGTGCTACTTCTAGACCACCCCATAGTGCTTAAGGCTGTCTCTCGGTGGTTTACAACTTAATTATGCAGGATACACATTGTCCCCACCCCACCCCTTTGCTCAATTTACCGGCCTCAGAAAGATGGAAGTTTGAGTCAGCCTCAAACCAACTACCTGCACCTGGAATCAAACTCCAGTTGTGAGCAGAGTCTTCATGGCAGTACTGCAGTTTATCCACTGCACCACAAGGCTCCTAAGTGGGTGTGGGCACTAGCCATGGGTTGTATCATTAAGAGCAGAGGCATGAGAGCAGCATGGAGATACAGAAGAACTTTAATTACACTCTTTGCTGCAATTTCTGTTTTCCCTGTCCTCCTATTGCCGTAAATTTGACCTTGAGCTACATGTAAAGCATGCCAGTTTGTCTCCTCAAACAGCATGTCATTTAGGGCACAGCTGAATAAAACGCAGCCTTTTAGGTGTTCATAAAATCAGCATATGATACAGGAACATGGCTGCTCAGTCTTAGTGTGTATCTCATAGGTCGTCAACCCCCGGTCCGTGGCCTGGCCAGTCCGTGGCCTGAGCTGGACTGGGTCGTGGAGACAGACCTCCCCCCCGCACACATTCCCCTCCCCACAGCTGTTTTCCACACGCACGCGTATGCCAGCGCCAGCATGAGTGCTCCCCCACCCCTTCATGTATGCGCCCGAGTGACAGCATGAAGGGGTGGGCGGGCGTGCAGGCGCTCCTGCGCTTGCGCAAAGGGGTGTGGGAGGCACGCAATGCTCCCCCACTGCTTCGCGCATGCACCAGAGAGAGAGAGAGAGTGCATGTGCCTGAGAGACCACCTGCGCTAGCATGGGGGGGTGCCCCGTCTTCCCCAGAGGCTCGACCGGTCCACAGGCACAGAAAAGTTGGGGACCGCTGGTGTATCGGATTAACCCAGTGTTATCTTTTGACTGACGGCAACTTCTCAAGGTCTCAGATTAACATATTTCCAAGCTTTTGCCCAGAGAGACCAACAAAGGGAACCTGGAGGCATCGAGAAAAGCCTGTTAGCCCTGGTGCCTTCCTTGTTCTGCTTGTTCCCCTCCTGCTGCTCTGGACTTCTTGATTTGCTAATGGTCTCCGCCGTTGCTGTGTCTCCCTTGGATCCAGGAGGAGAAACCACAGCTGTCGGAGGTGGAGCGCAAGAAGCTGTCCATCCAGGAGGTGCGCCACAGCCTGCCTATCTACCCCTACCGTGCAGACCTGCTGGCTGCCATTGCAGAACATCAGACGCTCATCATCGAAGGGGAGACCGGCTCCGGCAAGACCACTCAGATCCCACAGTACTTGTTTGAAGAGGTAACTGGGCAGATATCAGAAAAAAAACAGGAGATTGTAGATATTGAGAAAAACTGCACTGAGATTTGCTGCCGCACTCGTCGCTGCCCCGGAAGCACCCCATGTGTTGCGGGAATGCTTTTTCAGTGCTCGCTGTTGCTGTCTGGGTGCAGCTGCAGCATTTTCTGCTTCCATTCTTGTTTCTCCCAAAGGCCTCCTGGTTGCTGAAAGTCCATGGAGGCTTCCCAGTTGGCCCTCTGAGTCTCCACCTCTGCTACTGCCTGGATGGCCTTTCTTGGCCGGTCACAGGGCCGCAGCACATAGTATATAATTTCATTTTTTAAAAAGAACAAATCAACCACAGTATGCATGCCATCTGTAGGAACAAGCTGAAAAGCTCTTCCATTTTTAAAAGCATCTCTCAAAACAGACTGTTGAATTGTAGGTTTGTTGGGAATATTAATGAGTTTGTGAAATTATTATGCTGAAAGACACTGGGGTGTTGAATAGCTGTTGCAGATGTTTCCAAGTGATGAGCCACACCCTGTAATTGGGTCTGAATTTGTGTAACAGAACAGGTCCTTGTTTTCATGTGTCATTCATGTGTCATTCAAGGGTTAAGGTATACTTATCTGTATGCTTAATAAATATATTTATATGCCACCATTCTCCTGAAGGATCTAAAGTGGCTTACAGTACTTAAAAGAAACAAAATTAAAAGCCAAGTAATAAATTATTGCAATATTAAGAAAGCATCATCATATTACAACTCATCATAAGAACAATCTACGTTTTAGCAGGAGAATGTGAATGGATAGGCTTCTAGAAATCTTACTTGCAGAGCAAAGGTTTTCATGACATGAAGTGTTACAGTTTCTCTCTCAAATGTAAGTCCCACTGATTTTATTTCAGTGGACTTCACTCTCAAATAAGACTGCTTAGGACTGCAGTGACATCCATTTTAACAGAGAATAACAGATTTTATGGCATGTCCTGTATGTGAAGATCCTCTCACTTCAGAGCAATGCTAGGGAGCTCACGCTTTCCCCTAGGACCACCGCTTCATGAACTAGTGTTCCTGGTTGTCCCCACATGTCCTCAGCACATGCTCATGAAAATCTACGTTTGTATGGTAAACAGAATTCACATTACACTAAGCTGTTTGCAGTTCTCCTTGCCGTGTTCCTATTTAAAAGGGTTGAGGTTTTTTGGGGGGGGGGTTGGAAAGAAGAGGTGCAAACAGGGTTTTGTTTTGTTTTGTTTTGTTTCTTTGCGAAAGAAGAGGTGCAAACATCAGGGGACTAAGAAAAGCATGAATATTAATAAAGCCCAAGAGTTTCAACTCAAGGAGGTAAATGGGCCACGAAGCACCCTGGATTGAGCTGTCAAGTTCTGTACCTTTTTAACAATGAGGAGTACAACCAGTTGCTGGGAAGCAATTCCTTGTTCTACTTTATTCTTTCTAACCATGAAAACTAGAAGCTTCCACTTAAAGAAGTAATTGAGAGGCAAATGTTCAGAATTCTGATTCCTGTTTACAGTTGCCTGAGATACTGTACCATAAAGCTGGTACAGTATCTTAGGTAAAGGTAAAGGTTCCCCTTGACATTTTTAGTCCAGTTGTGTCTGACTCTATGGGGCGGTGCTCATCCCGTTTTTCAAGCTGAAGAGCCAGCGCTTGTCCGAATACAGTTTCCATTGTCACGTGGCCAGCATGACTAGGGAACGCCGCTTTACCTTCCCACCAAGATGGTACCTATTTATCTACTTGCATTTACATGCTTTCGAACTGCTAGGTTGGCGAGGAGCTGGGACAAAGTGACGGGAACTCACTCCATCACGTGGATTCGATCTTATGACTGCTGGTCTTCTGACCCTGCAGCACAGGCTTCTGCAGTTTAGCCCACAGCACCAGAAGACTGAGCGCCGAAGAATTAATGCTTTTGAATTGTAGTGCTGGAGGAGACTCTTGAGAGTTCCCTGGACTGCAAGGACACCAAACTTATCCATTCTGAAGGAAGTCAACCCTGTGTGCTCACTGGAAGGACAGATCCTGAAGCCGAGGCTCCAATACTTTGGCCATCTCATGAGAAAAAAAGACTCCCTGGAAAAGACTCTTGATGTTGGGAAACTGTGAAGGCAAGAGGAGAAGGGGACGACAGAGGACGAGATGGATGGACAGTGTCATCGAAGTGACCAACATGAATTTGACCAGACTCTGGGAGGCAGTGGAAGACAGGAGGGCGTGGCGTGCTCTGGTCCATGGGGTCACGAAGAGTCGGACACGACTGAACAACTAAACAACAAGAAGAAGATACTCTAATTCCCTCATCCCAGTTCCAGGTGTGAATTCCAGCACCTTACGGCCAATTGCTTCAGCTCAATAAAGGCTTTTTCCATTCTTTTTGTTCCTAAATAGGGCCGTCTTGTGTCTCTGCTTTCTTGAGCAGGATAGTGGTGGCATCCTGTGAGTACCTAGTCCTAGGGCTTGAGTCACATGGATTTTCTGTTTTCTTCTCAACAGGGCTACACAGAGAAGGGAATGAAGATTGGCTGCACCCAGCCTCGGCGAGTGGCGGCTATGAGTGTCGCTGCCCGTGTTTCCCAGGAAATGGATGTCAAGCTTGGAAATGAAGTATGTGCTGGGGAAGGTGTGGCTGTGGGATCTGTGCCAAGGGACTGAGAACAAAGGTGGAAACCCAGCGAGGAAACAGACCGATTTTTGGCCTGGGGTCTGTTTGCCATATGTGCCTTGTTACCCTACTGGCATCCTTGTGTGGGTGACATATCAGTTTCATGCACCATTATATTCCTTGTTGAGTTTTCAATTATTTTCCTTCATTGGGTGTCTTCGTTTATTGTTTCTTTAGATGTAAATCAGGGAGAACAGTACCCAGCCCTAATTCAGGTGGTGTACAAATTTTTGAACTATGTAAATAGATGTCCTCCTTTGCTTACCGTGGGGATTGGTCTCCAGCTTCCTATGATTCGGAGATGGAGCTGGCGGCTGCTGGCTGTGCCTTCTTCTTATTTCTGTCCCTTTCTGGAGCACCTTGGAGTGGAGCTAAAGGGGCTTTCCAGCCAAATGCTGCTTTGCATGTGTTGGAAAAGGCTTCGTGCACATAGGTGTGTAAAATTCCCATTTTCACGCAGGTCGGCTATAGCATCCGTTTTGAGGACTGCACCTCAGAACGGACGGTACTGAAGTACATGACTGACGGGATGCTGCTGAGAGAATTCCTCACGGAGCCTGACCTGAGCAGCTACAGGTGAGCGAGAATAACGGAGGTCTCCACTAGGGGGCTGTTCAGAGCTCAGCTGGGAAGGTTGGATGGCAGCTCAAGGGGGGACTCTTTTCTGAAGAATGATGGCACTACGTTGGATGACGTGCTTGAGAGGAGGGAACGTGCACGTGTATAGTTGTAGGCATATGCATACGGTAGTACCTCAGTTTGCAAAACGGATCTGTTCTACTCATCGTTACGTAGCACGGAAATTTGCACGTGTATAGTTGTAGGCATATGCATACAGTAGTACCACAGTTTGCAAAACGGATCTGTTCTACGCATCGTTACGTAGCACGGAAATTTTGCAAACCGAAACGCCAATTGCACTACAAAAGGGGTGGCGCTATAGGCACAATGTGCCCTTTCATAGTGCAACGGAAAAAAAGAAAACAACATAAACCGGGGCCTTATTTCTTACAGCACGGAAAAAAAGAAAACAACATAAACCGGGCCTTTATTTCTTACAAATTTCGGTTTGTAAACTGAAAATTAAGTAAACTGAGGCGTTCACAAACCGAGGTAGTACTGTATATACATATTGCCCAGAGGGGGGAGGATTGTATATAATGTGTCCCATAAACATGGACTGTAACTTATGAAATTAATAGTATCAGGCTTACATGTAAACAGAAACACAAGAGCTGTGTTCTAGCCATCAAGGTTTGAGAAGGAAACACACAGTTTCTAGTAGGAACTAATAGAATAACTGACCAGGCATTATCAGGGGCTGCTGTTTGGGAAGCTGTAGCTTAGTGCACTGCACCTTCCACCCAGCATCTGGTTTTCTCTGCTGCTCTCCTATAGGTTCTGCCTTCTTACACAGATAGTGCTATCAAATGAAATTGTTCCAAATTCCATGAAACAAAACAGTACCCTTAGCTATACCACCAGAATAAATCCTGTATTCTGTAATTACCGTGTTTCCCCGAAAATAAGACAGGGTCTTAAATTATTTTTTGCTCCAAAAACACATTAGGGGTTATTTTCAGGGGATGCTTTATTTTTTCATGTACATCCATCTACATTTATTCAAATATAGACATGTCATCTTCTGGTTGCTACACAATGGTAGAGGGCAAGGTTTCAATTAACTAGGTCTTATTTTTGGGGTAGGGCTTATATTATGAGTCTCCTGAAAAATCATGCCAGGGCTTATTTTCAGGTTAGGTCTTATTTTCGGGGAAACAAGGTAGCGCCGAAGGAGTATCAACTCACTGATATCCTTTTTATGTTAAAGCTCCTTAGAATGGGCAGAGAAGCCTTTTTTCATGTTGTTCTCAAATAGCTGGCCAAGGCTGGGTAAGCTGTCTTGTTAGCTTAGGGGAAAATCATAACATGCTAAATTGTTGCATAGATTTAAGTTCAGCAAAAGCAAAACTAAGGGAAGACTTTGGAAAGAAGAATTTAAAGCTGTGGTTCCCCAACCATGGGTAACCTAGGTGTTCTTGAACTCCCAAAAATCTTCACTACTAGCTGTGCTGGCCAAGGTTTCTGGGAGTTGCAGTCCAAGAACATCTGAGTTACCCAAGGTGGGGAATCACTGCTTTAAAGAAAATTCTCTCCAGTTCCAGGAGCTGATTATGCTGTAACATGGTGCCAGCAGCTTGCCAGGAATTTGGAGGCGCTTAATGCAAGGCCCATCCCTGTTCTAGACCTACTGTTTGGCAAGCCATGGTCTTTCTGACTCAATAAAATGGATTCAGCGCTGGCCTGACTTAGGACAGATTTATCAAAACTGCTACAGAAATATAGCCGGCAGTTCAATACTACAGCTCCCATATTTCTTCTTCATAGTGTCATAATCATAGATGAGGCACATGAACGAACTCTGCACACAGACATCTTGTTTGGGCTGATCAAGGACATTGCTCGCTTCCGGCCTGAGCTGAAGGTGCTGATTGCCAGTGCGACGTTGGACACAGAGCGCTTCTCCACCTTCTTTGATGACGCGCCGATCTTCCGCATTCCGGGGCGCCGTTTCCCAGTTGACATCTTTTACACCAAGGTCAGCAGCACAGCTTTGAAGTAACTACTTGGAAGTAATTTTGTTACTCACAACTCGTTGCCTTTGGGGTGACTAAGGGACAGGTAGTTAACGTGTCATTTTTAGGTGTGATGACATTTAAGTGTCATTTTAAAGAGTGTTTCCCAGTTACTTTCAAAGAGGTATGGGGGCGTTGGATTTCTTGAACTTTAGCCCCTTTGATAAGAAATCAAAGTCTTCTCAAGGACTTTGTTCCGGTGAAGAAGTCAGAGGGAAAGAGTGGTGGCTAAACTCAGTGTGGACTGCAAAGGAGCTGAGGGTTGGTATCCCCTCTGCCCGTTACATTCTGCTAAGGGTGCCTCTCGAAAAAACTTCCTTCCGTCCGTCCGTCCGTCCGTCCGTCCTTCCTTCCTTCCTTCCTTCCTTCATATTTCAAATTTAAAAGCTGTTTCATGACTGCTGTTTCTGATTATTCTCAGCATCCCAACAATAACAATAAGTTATATCTGTAACAAAGTGTCTTGGTTTGCTTGTTGAATGTTCAGTTGGAGAGACGGGTCCATATCTTTCCCCTTTCCAACCTCATCCCCCCTTCTGCGCCACCCAAACATTCAGGTTCTGGGTTTGCTAATACCCCCCCTCCCCTCTTGTGCTTGAGCTGTTAGGCCATGACTGTGTGTCACCATTAGAGAGGGGTGCTTCGTATTTGTATCCCTGGGCATACAAATATTAAGCGGGTCTGTTCCCTCCCCCCAGAACCAGCACAGCTCCCTCACTGACCTCTGCACAGTGCGCACACCCATCGATGGCGACATTGTGCCAATCGCAGAAGTAGCCCGACTGGCTTAGCCCCGATGACAACAAGAACCACTGAAGTGTGTTTCATCCACAAGCGAGATGTTTTGATTACCAGATCGCTGTATTTTGTTTGTTTGTTTGTTGTTGTTGTTAATTGCACTTCTGTCACACCCATTTAGTGATGTACCAGTAATTTGGGTGGCTTACAAAGGAACATACTATATAAAGAACAAATTAAACAGCACTGAACACAAATAATGCATAAAATTAAAAGTAACAACAAAACAAAGCAAACATAGCATAACTACTATATAGTAAATCCCCCAAGGATGGCAAATCCAGGTTGACTTTACACAGAATGAGTCAAGATGTCTCTCATATGAGACGGATGAACCTGAATGCCTGATTAGATTTCAAGGTCTGTTATAGCAGGTACTCTGCTTTGGTGAAGTGGGAAGAACAGGAAGCCATCTTCACATCACAGTAAACAGTGGGCAGAGGCAGAACACTTGGGGATGCCAGTTCTCCCCCAGAAAAAGAACTGACGCAGGATAAAACTGAACTGTTGACTGTGGAGGAAATACTAGATATATTGTCCAGAGTGGGCAAGCTAAATGAATATCCTGAGCAAATGATTGCAGAAGTCATCAGGAGGCAGAGATGAGTTTTGGTTTTGCCTAGATAAGCCTATAGGAGGTGATGTGATTATTCTTCCTCTGACCCTTATCCCCTAGGCTCCAGAGGCTGATTACTTGGAGGCCTGCGTAGTATCTGTGTTGCAGATCCACGTCACTCAGCCCCAAGGAGACATCCTTGTATTCCTCACTGGCCAGGTGAGACTTTGTGTGTATTCTCCTGCCCTCCTTTAAGCGTTATTTGGGGTGCAGCGCCTAACTCCCACTCTTACCGACAGGAAGAAATCGAAGCGTGTTGCGAGATGTTGCAGGACCGCTGCCGTCGCCTGGGCTCCAAAATTGCTGAGCTCCTCATCCTGCCCATCTATGCAAACCTGCCCTCTGACATGCAGGCCAAGATCTTTGAGCCAACGCCTCCAGGGGCCAGGAAGGTAGGATCTCGTTGTCTGTAGCACAGAAAGAAAGGGGAACGACCCTTCAGCTGCTTCTAGTACAAGTGATCAGCACTGGGGAATATTTTTTTGGCCTGGGGCCACATTCCAATAGTGGGTTGCGGACAAGGGCAGAAGGCTGGGCCAAAGCACAGTGACTGGAGCCAGAATGCAGTTTTTAACCTATTTAGATACACTCCCCAAAAGAATACAAAGGACAGCTCTGTTCTGTGCGAATCTGCTCAGCAGTAGGATACAACGCAGCACCTTTAAAGCATGCTAAATATAGTGCAGCTCCATGCACCAGCTTTCCAACTGTAATCCTCCATGTAGGAAAGAGTGCTTGGAGCATTTAGAGGAGTCGTAGTAT